CCACCACCGCCGCCGCCACCGCCTGCCCCACCACCGCCGCCACCGCCGCCACCCCCACCGCCGCCTAGCCCGCCGCCTCCAAATCCCCCACCACCCGATCCGCCTCCGCCAAGCCCGCTTCCCCCTAGTCCTCCGCCGCCCCTGCCTCCACTGTCGCCACCTCCCAGCCCGCCGCCACCGCCGCCGCCACCCAGCCCCAGCCCACCACCGCCGCCAAGCCCGCTTCCCCCCAGCCCTCCGCCACCTCCGCCGTCACCACCACCACCGCCACCACCCAGCCCCCCACCGCCGCCGCCAAGCCCGCCACCACCGCCGCCGCCACCGTCCAGCCCACCACCGCCGCCACCGCCGCCACCCCCACCGCCACCTAGCCCGCCGCCACAACCACCCCCGCCACCTCCGCCACCCCCGCCTCTGCCCAGCCCTCTACTACCGCCACCACCTTCCCCGCCACCGCCCAGCCCACCTCCTCCCAGCCGTCCACCTTCCCCCAGTCCTCCACCTCCCCCCAGGCCTCCACCTCCCCCCAGCCCTCCGCCTCCCCCCAGTCCTCCACCTCCCCCCAGCCCTCCGCCTCCCCCCAGCCCGCCACCGCCGCCGCCACCACCTAGTCCACCGCTGCCGCCACCTCCACCACCCAGCCCTCCTCCCCCCAGCCCTCCGCCTCCCCCCAGGCCTCCACTGCCCTCCCCCACGCCCCCCAGGCCTCTGCCCCCCAGCCCGCCGCCTCCTACTCCTCCGCCACCCGCCCCTAAACCCCCGACTCCGAAGCCCCCCAGCCCGCCACCACCTAGTCCACCTCTGCCATCACCACCACCACCGGTGAGTGCTAGTTTAGTGAATTGGTTTAGTGCATTCCCCCCTCTCCCCCCTTCCTTTCCTGCGGCACAATGCTGAATAAGCTTAGTAATCCGTACGTGCCGTACGTGAATGTACAGCATGTCCGCTGGCTAAAGTTATATGCTTCGTCTGGTCTGGGTTGACACTACTGCAATTAGCGGTTTAAGGTCCTGGGTTCGATTCCTGGGGAGACCCCCGAATTAGTCGGGAGCGCGAGATTATGGCTAGCTGCTGAGATGTGGAGTTGAGGTCACAGTTGATGGACCAGATTCGCACGCTGGATTGGTGGCGATTGCCGAACCCTTCGTCTCTTCGGGTGTTCGGGTGAATGGATGAGGAGGGGACCCTGAAGGCTGGATCCGCCGCCTTGGACTTACAGTTCGTATGGCGAAGTACAGTGTGGTAGTGGTGGATGGTGCTAAGGTGATAAATGATCTAGAACTGACAATGTGATAAAGCGGCCCAGAAGCCTCCCACTCTGTAACATTACATTACATTACATTACATTACATTACATTACATTACATATATGCTTCATTCAGTCCGGACAGGCCGAATACGTTTAACGTTGCCCTTGCAGAAGAACAACGGAAATGGCAACGGGAATGGCAACGGCAACGGTAACGGCAACTTTAACGGTAACAACGGTAACGGCAACGGCAACGGGAACGGCAACGGGAACGGGAACGGCAACGGGAACAACGGAAATGGGAATGGAGCAGGCCGCCGGCGGTTACTTCGCCGGTTCGCTTCCTTAGTTTAAGCTGACCATGCATTCACATACATACAGGCATTCACGCACTTACATACATAGATGCGTATACACACAAAGAACAGGAGCAGCGGCAGTAAGAATACGACAGGCGCAACTACAGCTGGAGGCCACAGTACGGATCTAATTTTATGGGAGTACATCATTTCCAATATTCTACGCCATGTACGGCAGGCACGGAAAAAGGACTGATGAGTCATGCATGTCTCTGGTTGGTAAAATTGTTGGAAGTAGAGTAATTTGCGACACGTGCGCAACTGCCTTCGGTTTTTATTTTTATCTTTAGTTTGAGATGCTGCCTTGGCATGAGCGTTTGCTTGCATGCGTTTAAGGACTTGAACATTTTCTCTTGCTCGAGGCAGGTATCCTGATCTTGCCGAAACGTTTTCCGTTCGCCAAGGCGGCTCCCCTTCTTTCATAAGAACAAGAAAACTGGTTGTGCTGTTATTAGAACTGTGGAATCTGTGGTAAGGTTGCATCATGGCTGTCGGCGAAGCGTCGTTTCGATTACTGAGCACCCTGCCCTGCAGAGATATTTAAGCCAGCAGCTAGCCACGGTTAACCGTAAACGGGCGGTTAGAATCCCCCTTGCCGGTTACGGCGGTAATTCGTTACCTCGCCGTTGATAGCTGGTCGCTTTAGTAATTTCAACGAGTCGTTATCATTGGGACTCGTTGGGAATCGACATCAAGAATGCATAAGTCTGTCCTGCCAAGCCCGGATTGATTAATCGGGCACACATTTCTGCGAGGAAAGAAAGCACCCCGAGAGAGGAGCTTATAGCCACGGAATGCGCGCGACTGACGGTTCAATATGGATGGTGGTTCATGGCTGTGTGGTGAACCGAAGGAGTCATTCAAGCGGTTCCTGGAGATATCTTGAGTTAGTTTTAAAGCTGTTGATTGTTACCAATTGATAAAATTTTCTAGAACAATTGCGGTATGGTGTTACGGCAACAGCAGCGGTTTTCAGCCGGTGCGTTGTTAGTGAATGGCTGGCGGCCCATTTCGTCGCAGCCTGGACTTTGGTTGACCCCCTCCCCAATACCACACACGGCGTGTTTTGCCCCTGCTCGACCAAATTCTGCTAAACCTTTTTGCGATGACTTTGCTTCATGCGGCGGGATGTCACATAACCCTGGGGTAACGTGCGGCCGTTATGAGTCTCGTTCTGCCGGCTCAGCGCCCAGCGCTCTTGGGCGGTACGGACGAAAGGCATATCGTACGCTATGTATCCTAGTGCTGTCCGTTTCGCGTGGAAGCTTTGTCATGGTGCTTTGCTTGCGTCGTCCTGTATGTACATCTTCGCACGGGGCTATGAACGTGTGTATGAGGACGGCGTGTGTCTTGACATAATCGTGTGTTAGTACGGCTCCGTACAGGAGATTTTAAGGCTTATCAATCAACCTTTTTTCCTGTTGTGGATGTACCGGTCGAGCAATGTATTACTCGTCCTTATCACTCACACGCCAGGATTATTGCGAACAGGAATGCGACAAGGCATCTCGCCAGCCACCAAGCCTCTTAAGTACTCTAGACAAGCCTGCAGCCGGCCAGCTACTCAATCAGCGAGTCACAGATTTTCCCCCCAATCTCTCTTCCCCGAGCTCCTCTACCGCCTCGCCCCCTGCATGGGGCAAACTCCGTGTCCGTGTCTAAGAAGAGATCGTAATGTTGCCGTCCGCTGTGCAACTGCAAGTAGTGCGTTCGTAGTGGCCAAAACGAGAAGAGTGTTTTAATGAGCAGCAACATCCGAGTACAAACATGCGCGTGCATGTTTGTATATTCAGAGGTGACACACGCGAGAAATGAACTAAGCACGAGATGTAAGAAGTTGCGGTGGCGTACCCAGCTCCAACCGCGCGTGCTATGCAAGGTGGGAACGAACACTAAGTCCTTCCTGGCATCACATTTGTCCTCTGTCCGTCCGTCTGTCTGTCTGTCTCAATTTTCCGTCAGCACAGAGAAAAAATCCGATAAGTAAACGGTGTTGCTGCTCATCTTTCGTCACAGCCTGAGGAATGTTGCGGTGGCACACAACCCAGAGCAACACGACGAACCCGCGCACATACATACTTAGGGTTATCCCCGTTATCCAAGAAACACCTGGCCCATGTTCCGAGATTGTTTACCCCTTACCCCCCCCCCTGCCACGCACACACATCGCTTTACCCCCCCCCCCACATCGCTTCTGGACGTTTCCTTTGGACGTTTCCTCAGCATTAAAAATAATGCCCAGGAAAGCGCCGCCGCATCCAGGGGTTGTCCGATCAGTAACTAAATAAACTATTACTATTACAGCCCCATGCCGCCAAGCGTCCCGCTGGAAAGGTCGCTGGCCGCCACGCCGCTGCCCCCGTCAGCCATTCCGCCACCTCCACCACCCCCCGAGGTCAGGCGCTTGAGCACCTCCACGTCAAGCTCGTCCTGTTTGAGTACAGCCTGCAACAGAAAAACGACAACTGAATAACGTAAATAACGGGTTTACGGCAACTGACCGTCGTTTGACAGGGTAGAGGTGCGCCTAGAGCCAGCAGCGGCAAGGGGAATGGCGCTGAGGGGTAGGTGAAATTGTGTAAAGAGGAGGATGAGGAAATGAAACATTTGGTGGAATGAAATAACATGATTGCAGTACAGTGGTACGACAGCAGCAGCAGCAGTAACAACAATGGTGGAGAGGCGCACCCAACCAAGAGGCGCTTCTCTATATTGCCGTCACTGCTTGCCATGTCCGAAGTGGAGGCAGGCTTGAAGAAGGGCTTCGGGAGAGCGGCCCAAGACAGATCGGTGTGGAAGGTATTCACCCGGCACACAGTGCGTGCGTAATCTATAGCCGCAAGCCATCCGCCGTGAACCAGCATCACTCGTGAATTAGCATCCATTGTGAAACAGCCGTTATTTACCGCTTTTCCAAACCAAACATTTGCCGCCACCAATTACCATCAACTTTTTTTACATTACAATCCCATCGCCGTTTATGCGTCCGGAAAGCAGTTGTTCGCACACGACATGTAAAAAGACGTACGCCTGTACGTACCTGGAGCTGCCGTACAGCCTCCGCATGGTCTCGGAGCACCGTGAAGAGCTGCGCTTGCGACCGCTCGTCCAGTTTGACCTGCGTTTGACGGCGGCACACAGGGGTTTGGGGACCGCAGGTTGCGCTCTGCCGTACGCAAGTGAGGGGCTTATATTCGCCCCGTAATAGCACAGCATATCTGAGCTCTTAGGGTACTTCAACACGGTAAAAAAAAGAGAACTGTCATCGCGTGAACCTGTTCCTTCTCCTCTCCTCTCTCTGTCCACATCCTGCGCACTTTCTAAATACCTCCCAAGTTGTTGTATCTTGTGGTATGTGGAGACATCATCTTTAGGAAGAAACGGCACAACAACGCTTTTCATTACTCTTAACTATTTCATAATTAAAAAACAATGACACGGACGCACGGGAGGCTGTTTAAAACGTAAGTTAAAGAGAAAGACTTTAACGACCCCCGCAGACATTGAGACGTGTCAGCACTCCTTTAAACGTCTCCCCCCCCCCTTTTTTTCCTGTTGACGCCTTACAGCGGCCAGGCCGCCGGCTCCTGCCGCCCCGCCGTCCGCACCTCCCGCCCGCATGCGAGCCGCCGCAGCTACAGCCTGCACGCCGCTCAGCCAGCGGGTGGGTCGATAGGATCGGACCAGCTCAGCTCAGCTCAGCTCAGCTCAGCACATCTTACACAGGTTACTTGCCAGGTCAGACAAGGCAGATGTGGCTCTCAGCGAGCCGGCTGGCTAGATTGGTTAGCCGGCTGGCTAGGTTGGTTAGCCGGCTGGCTAGGTTGGTTAGCCGGCTGGCTAGGTTGGTTAGCCGGCTGGCTAGGTTGGTTAGCCGGCTGGCTAGATTGGTTAGCCGGCTGGCTAGGTTGGTTAGCCGGCTGGCTAGGTTGGTTAGCCGGCTGGCCACCAGCAAATTCTACACCACATAAGAGGTCACAGTTCAAGGCAGGGTTAAGGTGTCCCGGCAGGTGAGGAGGGTTGGGGTGGGGTGGGGTAGGGTGGGGGGTTTTCAATCCTGTGCATAACAGCGCCGTGAGTTAGAAACGGAGAAGGTGGCCAGGCCAAGCAGTCCGGCTCCCCTCGCAACCCCTCGCAACGCGCTCCCTCCCACTCTCCCTCCCCCTCCCCTCTGCCCCTTATCTCACCTCCAGCCTCCTCTGCAGTCCTGCCGCAGCCGCTGCTGGCGCCAGCGCCTCCTCCAGTCGTGTCATGTGTCGACCGAGCTCGGCCACCTGGTGACGGGACTGTTGGGCGTTGTAGCTGAGCGAGGCGGAGGAGGTGACATGAAGGCAGGGGCGGGGGCGGGGGCGAGAGGAAGGGACGGGAAGGCGGAAAAGTAGTTAAGAGGGTTGAAGGGGTGACAGCGGGAAGCCGAATAATACGGTGGAAACGTATCTGAGCAGCAGAGATGCACACATGCTCCGAAACCACTGCCGCGAGGGAAGCTGTTTGAAGGTATGTGTGTAGGTGTGTGTGTGTGTTGGGGTTAAAAAAAGGGGGGAGAGGGTTTCAATACATGAGTAAACGAACATGCAACACACAAATTCGCATCCCCCCCTTTGTCTAACTTTCCCTGGAGTATCCGTTTATACCTGGTATCTGCTCCACTCGTCCCGTGTTTCACTTAAGCCTCCCCCTCCTCCTCGCCATGATGTCCCTAATTGCGCATCGGCCCAACACCCCCCCATGGACTAGTAACACTGCGGCTCGTTTCATGGCGCACCGGCAACCCTACTCGGGCCCAAGCACAACACCATCTCCCCCCCCCACACACCCTCCCTCCCTCCCTCCCAGCCCGGCCCCGCTCCCGCTCCCACAACACACACACGCCCACGCCCGCAGCCGTCAAATCTCACCCTGCCGACAGCGCCAGTCTGCCCTCCAGCGCATCCATGCACCGCATCACGTGCAGCAACTTGTGACTCAGGGCGGTGTGCTCCCGCTGCAGCTCGGACATGCGGCTCCGGAACTCCCCTGTTGCGCGACGGGAGAGAGCGGCGGCGCGGTCCTGCGGATCGTGTTGGTGTAAGTATGAATGTGTCCATATGTATGTATGTATGTATGTATGTATGTATGTATGTGGGCCGTGTAGAGTTGGGGCGTGGCGGAAGGGTGGCTGTAGGTGTGGGTGCGGACACGGCGCTCTTATAAACTCAGGAGAGCCGACGTTAAAGGGGAGACGGCAGGTAAGAATATTGATGTGGCACAGTCGTCACATCGCCATGCCGGTGTGAATGCGTGGGTGTGTGTACGCATGTATGTCCACTACACATTCACAATTGGGGACTCCTGAAGCCGCTCCGGAACCACAACCATTACCTCGAGTAATGGTCACAACTGCCTCCCCACTGCCACTGTCTCCCCCCTCCCATACGGCCTCGCTGTCTCCTACCTCTCCCTCCTTGTCAACACCCCATCCCAACTCTTGTAGAGGCAGCAACTCTGTTTCGCTTCGACCTCTTTCGTCCCCATAGGACAGATCCCCTCGCTCCGAAACCACATACATATAGTTGCATCGTAGGTTTGGATGCACACGGCAATTGTTTATTTCAATTTTCCTGCACATGATTACCCCCGCCTTCCTCTCCCTCCCTCCCTCCCTCTCTCCCTCCCCCTCTCTCTCTCTCCCTCCCACACACCTGCAGCTCCCGAAGTCGGCCCTCGTTCTGCGCCACTGCATCCGCCTGCATCCGCGATCTCGTGTTGAGGTCCGCAAAGCCGTTGGCCACCACTGGCCACAGTCTGGACCGGTTGTAATGGTCGCGATGGGAGGAAAGGGCGCCGAGGATGGCAGGATGCATGGGGGTTATGGGGGTAAGAGCAGTGCCGTGCTGCGCTTAGGTCGGTGAAGGGGGATCCCCACACCCATCACCCATCCCCATTACACTTTCACCACACACCCAACACATATATGCACAGGTATGTTTCCTAAGGTAAGCGCGGATGCCCTGTTCTAACACATACATACATACATACATACACGTTACCTACACACATTCGTACACGTAAAAACAGTAGATCCGCAGCTCTCACTTTTGCGGGTTGTTGGGTCCCTTTATCGCTGCCAGCGCCGCCCGCCACCTGTTCTCGTCCACATAGCCGGGCGGCTTCACTCGCTGCTCCGCGCGCTCCACCACCGACACGAACAGCGTCTGGAAGCGGAAGTCCGGAGAGCCCGGGTTGTAGGCGGCGGCTAGGCGAGTCAGGGCGCGGACCGCGTCGTCCTGGGTGAGGCCGCTAGGGTCAACGAGACCCGCCAACTGGGCCTGAGGGGGAGAGAGGGGGAGAGAGGGAGAGAGAGGGGGAGAGAGGGGGAGAGAGAAAGAGAAAAAAGGGGCCCCGGAAAATTGAAGGGGGTTTAGGGGAAATAATTAAGTAAATATTATAGACATACAAACAACGCCAAAGCACCGCGTAGCACCGAGTAATATGAGCTATCTCTCCGTCGTCTCTCCGTCCTTTTCTTTCGCGCCCGGCCGCCCGCCCTCCCTCCCGCCCTCCCTCCCGCCCTTCGGACTATTGTTGGTGTATACTGCTACTGCTAATACTACCCAGGTACCAATGCTGCTACTGCTGACCTGGCCGGCTGCACCAAACATGTTGGCCTGCTGTTGCTGCTGTTGTTGTTGTTGTTGTTGTTGGGGTTGTCCGAAAACGCTGATGGCGGTGTTGGTCGCTGCGGGGTTTGAATAGGGCCACCAGCAAGGGGGCAGTAGCCGGGGAGGTGGGTGGGTGGGGTCGGGTCGGGTGGGGTGTCTTCAGTTACAAGTTACACTTGTGGAACAGTATACAATACTGTATTGTCCACAAGTTCCGCACAAGTGCGGGTATGTGTCCGTAAAAGAGGAAACAAATCGCAGATTTGAACTCAGCTACCAAGCAAGGGGACTTTGCGGGGAAGCAACATGGTAGAGCGCGACAGGCCAACAGGGGTACATGGCCCCCTCAAGGAGTACAGGGGTACATGGCCCCCTTCATGGGCGGGGTGTGTATGTAGCAGAGCGCTGCAGGAGGGGGCCCGGGGCATGAGCATCCACCCGCAGAGCATACTCCCCCTGTTGCCAGCAGAGGGCGCTCTTGTACAATAAATATCGCCCACGACATGCGAGAGAGCTGGTTCGTTCAGGTTTCGTGCGGTTGACATGTTCGAGTTTCAGGCGGCTACTGACTGGGGGGAAAGTAGAGGCAAAGAGGAGTTGTCTTCGCATCTACACATACAGAGCCACGCACACGCGCATGCATATGTTGTACCAGCCGTAAACGCACGTATCGGTTCAGCGTGTGTTTTTGCGTACCTCCGAAGAGGCCGCCGGTTGTCGTACCCGCTGCACCGAAGGGCGCCGAGGCGGCGGGTGCGGTGGACATGCCGAAGAGGGAGGGTGATGAGGACGGAGCGCCGAATGCGGGTGCGGAGGTGCCACCAAAGAGGCTGGGCGCACTGGCAGCGGGAGCTGCTGTGGGAAACGAGAACGCCCCTGCTGTTTGAGCTCCAAACGTGGGGGCTGGTTGGGAGCCAAAGGCAGGTGCGCTGGGTGCTGCGCCAAAGGTTTGTGGTTTTGCAGCGGGTGCGCCAAAGGCGCTTCCAAACGCGGGTGGCGCTGCCGGGGCTGCTGCTGGGGTAGTCCCGAAGCTGAAGCCCGTCGTTGTTGTGCTGGGGGCGCCGAATGCAGGTGCGGAGGACGCAGCGCCGAACGCCGGCGCGCTGGTTGCTGGAGCGGCAGCGGCATTTGCCGCAGAGAAGCCAAACGGGCTTGCTGGCGGCGCTGTGGTTGCAGCGCCGAACTACGGATTTAGAAGTCAAATCACGCATTTGAAAAAACATTGGTTAAATTTGGTGCAGAATCGACCTTATACAAACGGATATATAAGTATGCTACACATGTAGGCGCATCAAGCAACAAACCTGAAAGGGTGATGCCGCCATGGTTGCCGATCGACTCTCCTCACGTTACAAGCAAAGGTAGCCCGTATCAATCAGATTAAGCAAGCATATATACAATACATAAACATAAGGCAAAATCCTTTTCGCGAAGCGACATCGCCTGCGCCGCAAAGCTGTTTGGAAGTTCAAATCCTACGAGCAGAGCAGCAGATAACGACCACAGCAATTAAGCCCACAGGTGTTTAAGCCTGACAACTCAGTCCTTGGGGAAGGTTTCACTCAAACTTTCTACCTAACTTGTTTCGGAGCCCATTATCAACGGTTATTAGTACAACAGCTTTACTGCCCAGTCTGAGCTAGGACTCTGCAGCCATGCTGCCGAAATGTGGAAAAGCTGTGCACATTAATCATCATCGCACCGAAGTACTTAACAGAGTATCATGGGATAATGAGGAATCGCCTCATTTTGGTGGAGATGAACCGGGGACCCTCGCCTCTCGAACTGTCCAGACTGGTGCCCCTTTCCAAAGCCTCTGCGTCGACGCCCATAAAGAACCTCTTGCAGCAGGTGTAATTGCCACATAGCCTATAAAAACATTCCTCGTATGAGTATTCCAGCATTCCAGCATAGGCCAACGCAGAGGAGGCTCACACCCGACATGCGACTGGAACAGCCATCATAACAAACATAGGACGATCGCTCTTCAGACTGGTGGCCTGTAGTTCCCCACCGCTACTAATAGTTGAGGACCCAACAGCATGCTGTACATGGTTGTAGCTGTAGCTGCTGCTGTAGCTGCTGCTGCTGCTGCTGCTGCAACAAATGCAGCCCGCGTTCTGGCACTGGCATGAGGAAAGATGTAGACGAATCAAAACGTGATGTTTAGCAGCGCTGTGGCGCTGTTACTGTTGGCGTTCAGAGACCTGGCTGCTGCCTGTTCGGATGTGCATAAGCTGCGCACAGCTCTCCTCGTGCACATGGATAGCATGGGTACGCCGTTGCCCGATCTGCGTCCATGCTATTCGACAAATAGGGTCGTCAGCTTCTTCGAAGAAGCCGGAAAGGGCTCTCGGCCCCGGTGCATCAGCCAGCAGTCACCCCGCAGTATTCCGTAGGCGAGGCTGTACGGTACTGGGCTGCAAGTGGAGGAATGGTTTCGTGTTTGGACTAAATACTCATTATTATGGGTCCGGGTGGGGCGGCCGGTGGCGTTGGGAGTTATGTATGAATCTGGTGTATACACGGTGCTGCTACGGCGCCACTGCAAATCCATGCACGGTGCATTGCGCGCCGCCTCCATCTCAACAAGGACGGACTGAGCATCCATAGCCTCCTGGTAGTGTGCGAACCCAGTTCCCCATCGCCAGTCGAAATGGGGGGATAGGACATGTATGAGATGGGCTGCACGTGAGACGGAGCAGAGCAGAAGGCAAGGAGGACAGTCTTGCTGTGGTGCAGTTGGCATGGATGGGCTGCGGGAGCTGTTGGGGAGTGTGGTGCGGTGAGCTGAGTGGCTTGTATGTATGTCATTGCTGCTGAGGGTCGTGGTTGTGGTTGCGGTTGGTATGGGATTCACGATGGGGTGCGTTTTCAGCCCGGGGGGCGCTTGGGCAGCCAAAGCCATGGCCCGGGGGACGCTATCTTCGCGCACTGATTTAAGTGCATTAAATTAATTCCTTCGGCGAATCGATAGTGTGAATTGTAGTAGCTAATAAATGCAATTCTTAGTTCAGCATGGCATGCAAGTTCATCATGAGACACGACGCTGACTGACTGACTGACTGACAGACTGACAGCAGTGAACCCCGGGGGCCTCGGCCCCCCAAAAGGCGCTTCGCGCTCGGAAGCCCCTCTCCCAAAGAAGGGCCAAAACGATCAGAACGCACCCATCGAAGCTCGTCCCATCATGGAGACATGCAGGACATGCAGTACATCAGTACTGGGCAGCTTCTCACAAGTCCAGCTGAGCAGGATACCGGTAGCGATAGCAATACTACACCACCAACAACAACAACAACGGCGGTTTCAGTAAGAAATAGCAGTAGTGGGAGCGGCGCGGCAGCGCTCCACATGCTTTGCATAAAAACCTACATGCATTCACCCAGGTAACACGCTCAGCTGGTGCTGCCACTGGCACCGCCCGTATCTCCCAGCGCTGCCGCCATGGCGGCGAGTGCGCCGCCAGCGGCGGAGCCGCTGCCGGCGGCAGCAGCGACAGCAGCAGCCGCTGCAGCGGCGCCGGAGGGTCCACCGGCGGCGGCGGCCGCGGCGGCCGCGGCGGCGGCGGCTCGCGAGCCGCCGTCCGCAGCCGCCTGTGCCATGAGCAGCTGCATGAGCAAGTCGGGCCGCCCTTCCAAGCGGGACAAGCTCGACGGGTACTTGCGCAGAATGTGACGCAGGTGCTGCAGGACGTATCTGTGTACGGCAGATGAGAAGAGACGTAGTACAGCGGATCCTATGCGGTATATGTACGACGATACGTAGCCCCCGCCTACATCGCCTGGCCCCACGTCCTGTTTCCCTTTTCCTCCTCCAAACGAGATTCCACAGCCCCACCCACCTTTACGCCTCCCGCCCATTCCCAATCTCGTCCTCACACCAAATGAGGTCATCCCCCGAGGAAAACACACGCGCACACGGCCCCTCACGTTCCTCTCCTCCCGCTGGAGGGAGAGTGCTTCGGCGGTCGTTCCCGTTGGGGCACGGTTAGGTGCCCCTGGCCAGCGTCAGGCCCGGATCGATGTATGGCAGAAACACTTACAGATACACTTACAGATACACTTACAGATACACTTGCAGATACACATACAGATACACTTACAGATACACTTACAGATACCCTTACAGATACACATACACTCTCTCCCTCACATTCTCGCACCCCCCTCAAGTCCACCTGAGCACCACGGGTCTCAGCTCCTCCACTCGGTGCTCATCCGTCCAGCACAGCAGCGCCAGGGCGTTCTGACCGCACAGCCCCCGTCGCACCTGGCTACAACAGTGCTGAAAAACTCTGGGGAGGAAAGGGACATGGGAAAAAAGGGCAGCAAAGTATGTAAGACAAATGCCAAAAGCCAAAAGCCAAAGGAAGGACAACCTAAAACCCTAAGATTTCCAACAGGTTTGGAAAAACTCCACTCCCTTCGTTAGCGACAAGCAGGGACTTGTCCTGTCCGCCCTTATCCCCCTATCTCCATCCCAAGCTGTCTCCCCGGGTGTGCTCACCGGCCCACCATGTATTTCCGGCCCAGCAGCAACACGTCAAGAACCACATCCCCCTTGAACTCCAACTGGTCGGTGTACAGGTACCTGCATTAACGTATGTGTGTTGTTACAGGGTGGTATAGCTTCACCAGCGGCCCCCCAACGTATGTATGTCAGTGTTTGTCTTTGTATGTGCGTACATATATGGATGGTAGCATTGGGTGATGTATATATGTGTTTGTGTATTACATGGTTGGGGGTGCGTGACCCCATACCTGTAAAACTACCCATACATACGAGCCGAAGGCCCAAGGGCAATATTTCAACGCCTATATATATATATATATGGATGGCGGAATAAATATGTGGGTGATAGAATTGATGTATGAATTCGCGTCCACTTGTGTGAAAGCGTGTGTGGATGTACACGTTGTCTGTGTATATGTGCAACGTATGCATGTGTGTTGAGCTGTGTATGTTGAGTTGTGTAAACGAAGGGCTAAGTGTGAGTGGAAGCGGAGAAGCAGCTACTACTTTACGCATGGTGCTGTACACGTGCACGCCGCTACCCGATCAACTACCTTCTAACCACTCCAACCCCCTTATCCCCAGCGGGATTCCCCGTTTCCCCCACCTGAGGAACTCTCGGAATGCGGCCGCGGAGCAGTCCCGCACCTCCACCACAGCAGTCCGCCCTTCCACGTAGTCGCTGGACAGCATGCGGCCGAAGCACTCGCAGCGGGCGGCCAGGAGCCACCGGTGCGCCCGGAGCTCCTCACCGTCGATCTGATGGAGAGGAGGAGGGGCCAGAGGGAATGGGGGAAGGGGAAGAAGGGGAAAGGGGGAGGGGAAGGGGATGAAGGGGGAAGGAGGAGAAGGGGAAGGGGATGAAGGGGGAAGGAGGAGAAGGGAAGGCGAAGGGTTCCCGGCAGGATAGCCGTTGATCAGATCAGATCAGGTAAACATGATCAAAGGATAATACATATAATAGTATTACACATGTTAATACAGATAATGATGCAGACAAACACTAACCGAAACGGAAACAGGTGGTTGGCGTTTGGAGGTGAATATTGGTTGGGGGGGCGTTGGCGAAGGCTGAAGAAAGGCAGGTGAATGCTGGGGAGGATACATGCTTCTACAGCTAGGGGGGATATTTGTAGTATCCTGGGCATATCACGGGACCTCCATCCACAATTTGGTTCGTTTTAGGAGAAGTCATGATACAACAATATGTTCCTGGCTTGAGTGGCGCCAATGATTGGGCAGTTGGATACTCTGGTGAAGGCGGGTAGTGTAACGTGAGGGACTGCAGCAGGACGCGGGGAAAAATAAATCAAGATCCATGTCAAAATCTAGATCCGTATCAACATCCCTAGATCCAGATCCAAATGCAGTCTAGACCAAGACGACTCAAGAGGATTTAAGTATGTGTTCTGCGCTGTGTCTCGCTGCCATTTGTTTGAAATTGAAAATTACTTGTAATATTCTGTGTCGTACCACAAAGGTGACATCAGCACCGTCGCCCCGGGACAGGAGCCCCATCATGTCCGTGACGAAGGTGGACTTGGTGGCGATGAGATAGGTGTGCGGGGAGTGCAGCTTGGCAGCGATGACTCGGACCTGTTTCCGTTACGGCGGTTGCGGCGGTTGCGGCGGTTACGGCGGTTACGGCGGGGTGGGGTGTATTGGTGTGTGGGTTGTAATGGAGTGGGCAGTAATGGCACAGACGTGGTATACGGGGGGCATATGCAGATATACATATGTAAGGGGGCCGCTGGTGAAGCTTAACCACCCTGTAACGACATACATATGTACAAGTATATATACAGAAAGAGAGGGACACAAAGATGAGCGACACACAAGACGTCGTAACAGTAAAAAAGCGAAAAAGGAGGATAAATGAAACATGTTGGTTTGACATGTTCGTCTCTAGTGCAGTCATGCACGGTCAGCTGGCCCGCTGGCTCTATAAACTTCGTGAGTCTGGAGCCCACTGTAGCACACACACACAACCCACACACACACAACCCACCCACACACACAACACACGGTGGTGGCAGCCGGGCTCCTGCAGAAGCTGGTGTTGTCTTCCCCCTAGAGATAGGAATTATTTAGACACAGACATAAACACTTACGTACATACACACGCACGCACACACACACATAACCCCCACACCCTGACCCCGGCTTCTGGGCTGCCGTACCCGGTTGGCCGAGCATTCCACCACCAGCACATCCCCACGGTGAGTCACAGCGATGCCCTGGGCTCCGAAACCGCAGCACGATTAGCATGTGATGCGAAGAGCGATTAAGGGGAGCATCAATATCGGGGACTGCAATCGTTAGCAGGGGCACGTTTCCTTAGTGTTCAGTATGTGGACGTAGATGACCCATGGGTCGGTTACCGGGAAAAGTGACCCTTGGGCCGGTCATCGCGATGCCCCAAGGGTCAATCATCAGGCGATAGATTCAGAAGGGATAACAGATTTTAACCTAACATTTTTGCTTTGATTTTGTTAATAATGATTAGTGTTCGAGGAGCAGCTGCTGAAGGATTCAAGGGTCGATTACCGTGCGAATTAACCTGGTTGACGGTCGACGGATCGCAATTACATGGCCTCGGCAGACCCAGGGTCAGACGAAGAGTTGGGCTGTGGGCCCCTGCTGGCCACCTGCGACCCACCCACTGACCCACCCACTGACCCACCCACTGACCCACCCACTGACCCACCCACTGACCCACCCACTGACCCACCCACTGACCCACCCACTGACCCACCCACTGACCCACCCACTGACCCACCTACCTGCGGATCACAGAACCGGGTGTGCTGGGTGCCGCCATTGGCGGTCCCCAGGGATGGCGGCCCCAGCTCCTCGTCCCTCTCGGGGCCAGCTGATGAAGTGCCGTACCACAGCCGTACCGCAGCAAAATCGTAACCAGCCGTACGGGGCACCACGTCGTGAAGTCAGTCAAGGCATGCAGCGGGGCGTGGAGGTGTAGCACGTAGGGGATTGAACGTCTACCAAGTGCCCAAAGTAGATTGATACTGAGGGACTCATAGCGTGATGATGATGATGATGATGATGATGATGATGATGATGATGATGAGGAGGAGGAGGAGGAGGAGGAGGAGGCCGCGGGGGACGATTCGGACGGGGAGGACGAGAGGAAGGGGAGAGGGAGGGGAGGTGGGGGAGGGAGAGGAGGTGGAGGAGGGAGAGGAGGTGGAGGAGGGAGAGGAGGTGGAGGAGGGAGAGGAGGTGGAGGAGGGAGAGGAGGTGGAGGAGGGAGAGGAGGAGGAAGAAGGGGAGAAGGAGGGGAGAAGGAGGGGAGAGGGAGGGGAGTTCACCTGCTGGGCCACCTGCCAGGGTGGTAATGATGCCGCCCGCTGACACGAGTCGTACACAACGGTTATCCAGATCCGACAGCAAGTAGTTGCCGTCGCCGTCGATGGCAACCCCTTGAGGGTGATTGAGGTGGCAGTGGAGGGCCACTTCCTCCTGGGACCCGGGGGCGGGGGGGCCTGTACGGCACGGGTTTTGGGGTCCGTGCCGTGCCGTGCCGTGTCGTGTGGAGGGTATTGCCCCGGGTTGAACCCGGTCCCGGGATGCATGAGGAGGGCAAAGGGAGGGCAGGGGATGGGGTTATGGGATCAGGCGGGGACCGTACCGCCCACCAACTTGTGGTTGTGTGGCAATTCGGGGGAAGGAGAGGAACGCGGCGTCATAGGTCGGGTCAATCACAGCTCAGATCAGATTCTTGCTCAATAAACATCCGCTCCGAAAACTGCACCAGGATTTAAAACAGGTACATTTATGTAATAAAAAACGTACTTTCGATTTCAAGTCAGGTCTCATTGGTTTTTAGTGAAACAAATCATATGTCGTACCTGCCGTACCGTTGCCAGCAATCGTAGTGGTCAGGCGGTCCCGGTCAACCTTCCGCAGTCTGTTGTTGCCCGCGTCCGCAACTACGAGGGTGCCGTCCTGCAGGCACGACATTGCCGTACATGCTCGTACTTGTGCAATTACTGCGGCCGGAGGGCGAATTGCTCGCACCATGAGCAGCCAGTACGGGCCCTCCCCCCCTGAGGCAACCATCCCCAAAGTCAGCACCTCTTCTCGTCTTTTCTGCCCTCTCTGTTTACCACCAGGACTTCCAAGTTGGTGTTGAATTGACAATTTTGAGAGTGCCTTCGGAGCTACAAATATATAGAAGGAATGATGATCTAGCATTGTAACAGATCCACTCGGGGCGCACCTATGTCGCCTACTCGCGTGCTCTACGAAAAACACACACGTAAGACCGCAATTTCGGCAACGCACACGGACATATGCACCGACGTACACGGTCACGATACAATGACATAGAATTGTGACCAGACACACAGACACAAAGAGACACAAAGAGACACAAAGAGACACAAAGAGACACAAAGAGACACAAAGAGACACAAAGAGACACAAAGAGACACAAAGAGACACAAAGAGACACAAAGAGACACACCGGAGGAAAGCGGAGCTAGCGGATCTGTGGCTCTCGGCTGCTTAGGAGGGTTCAGAGGCCCCCCTCTAGCGCCCCTCTCCCGTCCACGGGAGAGAGCTTAGGCGGTCTTTCCGTTGTGGCTGGGCAGCTGCCCCTGGCCAGTGTCAGGCCCGGTCAGATACTTGTAACGTTCACGTACACACAGACAGACACACAGACACACACACACAGATGTGCGCACCTGTAGGTTGACGGCTGCTCCACATGGGTTTCGGAAGCGGGCATCCGTACCCGTGCCGTCCCGGAAGCCAGCATTACCCGGGCTGCCTAGGTGCGGTGCGGTGCGGTGAGGCGGGAAAAGGATCCACAACGGGGTGGGGGAGCCATGTAATGCTGCTGGTGGTGCTGCTGTGGGTGGTGCTGCTGGTGATGATGATGCAGTTAGGCAAGGGCTGGTGTGAAGGACAGTTGGCAAGGGCTGGTGGGATAGGGCGATGCGTATCGTTGTACACCTGTTTCGAAACGTCCTACACTCACCCACGAGCGTCGACACGATGCTGTCAGCGGCGGTTAGTTGCCGTACGCAGTGGTTGGACGAATCAGCCACGAATATGTTACCGTCGCCGTCCACTGCCACGCCGCGGAGGTTGTAGAAGCGGGCGCTACCCGAGGGGCCATCAGCATGGCCTGGGGTGGTGCCGCCTGCGAGCATGTAATCGAGTGTGCGAGTATACTATTGCTATATATATGTGTGTGTGTGCGTGTGTGTGTATCTGTATGTGTTTCTGTCACACATCGATCGGGGCCTGACGCTCGCCAGGGGCACCTAACCGTACCTCAACTGGAACGACCGCCGAAGCACTTTTCCCCTTAGCGGGAGGAGAGGAGCGTGAGGGGCCACAGTCCCCTAGTACTGCTCGACCGAGGGCGCGCGACCCACCCGGTGTCGATCTACCTCATGTAACCGGCGATGAAAGAGCGCACGGTGGCTACGGAGGCCCGCTCACTAGCAAACCCATCCCGCGACAGCTCCCAGCTGCAGCATTACCGGCTATGGTGGTGACGAAGCCGTCGGAGGCCACTCGCCGAAGGCAGTGCTGGTCTGATACCACCAGACTGCATGATATACAGGCGTACGTACAAAAGCAAGAAATAAAACAAAAAATTAAAATTGAGAAAAAGAGTGAGGGTCTCAATCACTAAGTATAGTGGGACGGGCTTAATTCAATTTACTTAGCAGCGCAAATAGAAAAAATATTCCTCCTTCGAAATTTCCTTCAATATTTAAACATTAAAGTTTAATTCACGTTGGAAAAATCCTTAGATTAAAACTTTACGCGATAAAAGGTTACGTTCCTAAAGCGCCAGGAACTCCCCAAGGAAAAAATAACGTGCAGCGTCGTGGCACGGCAAGACAAGATGACAAGAAGGTACGACATGTCGTACCTGCCGTACTTGCCAGCAACATGCATGCGTCCCCCACAATGGCGGATATCCGTGTCAAGGGGGGCACATGCACATGCGGCCGGAAGCTACTGCTTATCGAGATGCAACGAGCAATGTAACCAATGTAAACATGTAACAGACTGACAGATCTGTTATCCAGGAAAAGTAAAAATGCCGTAGTGGCATCCCTTACATGTCCGTACAAAACACACACGCCCGCACTCCAACTCCGGCACCACCACTCGAGATCCCAAAACCCCTTTTCCCCCCTCCCTCCCCCCCTTCTTCCTAAGTTCGTCATTTCCCCCCTTCTTCCCACCTGCCATCTCTGTGATCCAGAGCCAAATACATGGGACACGAGAACTTGGCTTTGCGGCCCGGACCGTCCTTGTGGCCGTAGCCCCCCCCACCTGCCAGCACAACAGCCTCTCCAGAGTCCAACCGGATCCGCAAAATCCTGGATCCAGGCAGCCATGCAACCAGGCATGAATCCAGCCGTGCATCCGTCCAACGATCGTACGGTCCATCCACACCCACAAATATGGAGCAGTTGTATCACGGTTTTAGCACGGTTATAGCGTAAATGCAGTACCGGAGCAGCATATTTGTAGTCGTACCAAGTCGCAGCCACAGTTTTCAATTGCGAGGTAGGGTGACTTACTTCCACAAATGGTACGTCTGCGGTGTACGAACATCCGTACCTGCAGTGTCCAGTGTCGGCGATGTAGGCGTTACCACCGAAGTCCACCACGACCCCTACAGGGGCCTGGAGACCGCTGTCGCCTGGAGCAGCTACTGCTGCTGCAGCCGGGGGGGATCCGCCGCTGCCATCGACCCCGGACGGTCCGTTCCCACCGCCGCCGCTGCCGCGACCGCCCCCAGCAGTCTCACCAGTAGCCGCGGATATAGGGCCCGCGGAGTGCGGCTGCTGCTGCTGCTGCTGGTATAGTCCCGGATTGGCGGCACTGCTGCTACTGCTGCTACTGCCGTTGCTGCGACGCGAGCTCCCCATCACACCATCCTGCAATCATACGTCATGTGCGGGACAGGAGGACAAAGCTCCCAGAGAGAGAAGCCGAGCGCAAGCCGGGCGGCAACGGCTGATCGGATGCGCGATGATGCTGCAAAAACGGAGAAGACAAGGGGCAGGTGCTGCTCACGTCTTCTCAGCAAGTCAAAAACAATCCTCGCCTTTTTTCCGTACACGTCCGTACACATCCGTACATCCACTTGGTGATGTGTGTAGATAGGTGAGATTCCTCTTTTAAATGTGGATACATGCCCTACTACCACCCTCCCCCTTTTAACCTCCACTCCAACCACCATCATTTTCACTCCCTCCTACCACCCACTCAAACCACTATCACCCCCTCCTACCACACCCACCGCGGCCATGTAGATGTGCAAGGTGGACACGGCGGGCAAGCGGGCTGTGAGAGGCCCCGACGAGGGCCCTCCGCCGCCCACGGAGCCGCAGCCAGTGCTGTACACCGAGGACCTGTCGCTGCTGCGCAACTCCGTGAGTGAGTGAGAGGGAAATTTAGGCGAAAGTGAGCAGCCAAAAGGGGGATAAGGGGCTTGGGTTCTGTGGCATGTACGACAGGCGTGTACCTTCTCGGAGTGGAGTCGTCGCCGCTTTCGGCGCCGTGGCCGCCGCCGCCGCCGCCGGCACCGCCGCCGCCGCCGCCGCGGCGTCGGAGCAGGGAAGTGAATCCGCTGAGTCGGCTGCGCCGCCCCGGCCCAGCTGAGGACATATCGTGGTAAGCAAAGCCTTCGCGGATGTCGATAGGGAGCTGAAGATTCAATCCGGAGGAGGAGGAGAAGAAGAAGTCGGGAGGACGAGAAGAAGAACAAGAAGAAGAAGAAGAAGAAAGCCAGGAATGCTTAGATGAAATGATAATGGGATACCAGCGGGGTTGTTAGGTTTTATTTCGGTGATCAACGCTTGTGTTGCCAAAGAGCAAGGCCTGAGCAGGTCAGGTCAGGGACGTGCTGCTGGTGCGGCTGCTGGTGCTACTGCTACCGCTGCTTCTGTTACTGCTACTGCTGCTACTGCTGCTGCTGTTTGCTGCTAGTGCGGTTCGCTGTTCGCTTCCAATGTTACCTATCCCTCGTTACCCTTGCTGAATGAATGAATGGTTATATAGGATCAGAGACCCTGTCTGGTTACAATCTGCCTACTGCTCTCTCTATCAGACAATTGGAGCTTGGTCTGTGCACACGGGGTGCGGAAATATCAGGAACTATCAGGAAAAGTAGAAGACAGGCAAAGACATAGAAAGTGAGGAAATATCGGGGTTTACGCAGATTAGGTAGCTGGGTGAACCTCGCCCTGGGGCCCTGAGGCAAAGGGGATGCGGAGCGCTGGGGGACCTGGAAAATGCCTTTTTCGTCGGGGCTGCGGTGTCCACCACACTGTCGACCTTTTCAAGTCCAGTCCAACACAGCACGACGTCTCCTACCACAACGCCCAGCTACCAAGGTTTCGGAGTCTGTTTTCCATTTTTTTCTGTTGGAAGGATATTTTTTACTTATGATAATTTTTTGGTGGGATTGTGTTGCCACCAAATTGGCAGCTACCTAGCTGGACTGCGTCCAGGTTTTCTTCGTACACCTTTCAAGTACGGAAAACTGCAAAAAGGTCATATGCATGCGCGGGAGACCTGGACGTCAGACATCACAGGAAAAGTTGGTCATCTGAACGGATGCCTGTCGGTCAGTTGTGATTCCCATCTCCTTCTCCGTCGCCCTCTCCTTTACCTTGAAAATATTTTCTTGATTTTATACAAAATTACAGAATCCCACAGAAGCCCAAAGTGCCACCTCGGCTACAGGGTTATTGGAAACCACTCCACGAGGATCAGATCTTCACCTTTCCTAATCCATTCCAAGGGGGGAAGTATAATAATCATTTTCCATTGAGTCGTTGCAGCCTTTCAAAGTCATGTAAGTCAGGGAGCCTTTTCCGGGCTTGTGCCTCCATTTTTTCATATACGGCCGTTAGGCCGCCCCGAAGCTGCCGCCAGCGTACTGCCAGTACCACCAAAGAATGGACAGCTGCATTGGACTGCGCCCTCGCCCCGCGCTTTTTAGCGCTTTTTAGCCATGTCTATATATATATATATATATGCACAGCACATAGACAGCCCGGAACGTAGGACACCCTAATAGCGAGAGTACGGATGTCAAAAGATCGCAAACATCTGGTAACGAGAACAGGTAATTTTCCGACCCTGGCAAAAGAAAGTCGGCACATTGCACCGTTATTGTTTCATTACTTGCGCACAGCTACAGGAGCAAGCGAGCAAAGGTAAAAAGCATTCAAGTCACGCTGCTTCCCTTCCTGGATATCGGATCAGCGGATAGATAGAGAGCACAGAGCACACTCTAGCCTCATCTGCTTTGTGCGTGTTCCTAGAAGGCTATCTCATTGCCTGTCTTCCCTGCTTGTCTGTCTGTCCGTCTGTCATCAAATCCGTACGTCCGAAGTTTAACCACACTGCGACGAACTATCCAAGCGACTACGCAAGCCATGAAAAGAGATTCCAGAATAGCGATGCGTCCCGTCCCAAGGAAAAAAAATTGAGCGCGCCGGTAATACGGCCGCCATAGTTGCGCCCTTTTCCCCTTTCTCAACCCCCCGAGATGAGATCCGAAATGCGCGTGACGTGACCCACGGGTCGTTGACGATGCTCTCGTTGCTCAGTCTTAAGACACCTGCTGAAGACACCTCTTAAGACACCTCAGCCTGACACCCCTAATGCCGTAGCACGGAATGGTGACCTGAAACAAAGCACAAAGCGAGGCTGGTCAGGTCAGGGCGAATACTGAGGAGCAATGCACCTGAAGGGCGCTGAACAGTGCTTGAGACACTGCAGCAAGGATGTGCTGCCCCCCCACTGGCCCCCCACTGGCCTCACCACACTACGCACCCACACGCCACACCACAGCGTCTGTGGGAAAAAGGGGACGTATCAGAAATATGTCTGCGCTACAAATTTGCCTGCCTGCATGTCTGTCTGTCTGTCTATCTGTCTGTCTGTCTGCCAGTCACGGGAACGGTGTTGCCGTCCCCTCTTTCAGAATCCTCCTCTCCCTTTTCCGAGACCCAGAACGCGGGGAAGCTGCGGGAAAACTAACATGCATACGGACACACACACACACACACACAGACACGACACCCGCAAGGCCCACACAACCCATCTTCCCCTGCTCTCCCCGCAGCCGCAACCGCAGTCGCTCGTCCAACAGAACACCCTAAACCCCTTCCGCCACACAGCGCAAAAGGCCCGCCAGGCATCCGCCGCCCAGTTCGGCATCAGTCATCAGTCGCCCCCATGTGCCCTCGTTTACACTCCACCCAGCAACGACCCCAACCCACCCCCACATCAGGCTCCAATAACCCAAAGTAATCCCCATTACCAACCGCCGTCTGCAGTGCAACGTAGGCCCCTTCTAGACCAACAGGGCCCGTACAAGCTGTACATTTATTTATATAAATGTACATCAGCTGAGAGGACAGTCCAAGCCAAGGTAATGTGTCCTCGCCGTCTCACCTACTCGCGTGACCCCCCATTAAGCCTCTCCCGCTCCCCCTCCTACCAGTATAGCTGTCCGCAATGTTAAGCCTATCACATGCAGTATACACCCCCTGCCAAACCCTCCTGCCCCCCCCCCGTCATTGTCATCTCGTTCATTATCGAGGGTGATTTCATTCTTCCCCTCCTCCCCCCTCTTCCTCTTCCCTCCTCTTCCTCCTCCTCCC